CTCTCCTGCAGGGCAGCATTGCTCCTTTAACCTCCTTTAACTAAACCTTGTAACTGGGAAGCTTGAGTAAGTCACTTAAACATTTAAGACTCAGTTTCCCAATTATAAAAAACAGTTGTGGAGAGAAACAAATTGTCTTAACATGTGACCATGCCCAGCACAGAACTTGGCACACAGGGACACAACAAATGGAAGTTTCCTTCCTCCCGTTCCCAGAGATCTCAAAAGTTTTAGTTTTTGGTCTCTAAAGTATATTGAAAAATTGGGTGAGTGAGGTACTGCCTGAGGGTAAAGCTCCCTTGACCAGGGGACAAAAAACAGCTCCCTCTATATGCTTTCCCGGTCTGCCCAACTCCTAGGGGAGTGGCAAGAGCACCCAGCCAGAGGCACCAAGCCAAGGTCAGTGACCAGGCCGAGAGCCCAGAGCCTCCTGGGAGAGTAAGTTTAAATGAGTAAATATGGTCCCGCCTGGGTGTGGCCAGTGACAGGCCAGAGCTTCGGACAAGTCCTTCCCCTCCCAGCCTACAGCAGAAAGGAGAGAAATCAGACAGCAGGCACAGCTGCTTCCCACTGCCAGGCTATTGGGGTCCTACGCAGAGCCAATAAACAGCAACTCCCTGTCTCCACACCTGCCAGGACTGGGCAGAAGCAGGGCTCGGCACTCAGGAAAGGGAGGTTGTGGCCTAGGCCACAGGAAAAGGAAAAAGGCAGAAGAGGAGGGCCTTGGGAATCACCTAGGCCAGGATCTGCCCCCAAATGCCTGAGGGTTCAATGCAGCCTTGATGGCTCAAGAGTGGCCTTGCTCATCGGGGGGAGCGGGGAGGGCAACAGAGACCAGCAAGACAAACCACCAAAACACCCAGGTGTTCCGATAACCGAAAGGCGAAACTCCTGTATATATCTAGGAAGCTGCAGCCCAAACAGGAGTGACTTACCCAGGGACACACAGTCAGTGTGAGGGGCAGAGGCAGGATGGGCCAGGACCACAGCGGCGGGAGGGAGTGAGGGGCAGGCATGGAAGTCAGCCAGGGCTCCTTGACTCACAAGTCATGCTCTTTATTTCGCAGACAGGGCTCCGTCTGCCCATCTGTGGTCTAACCTCAATCCCTCCTGCTCCAGTCAGCCCTTCTCTCTTCAGAGTTCTTGCTATGCCCTTCATCTTCTTGCCTCCAGTCCCCTCAACCCCATCCCCACTCGCCAATCCTTTAATCATCTTTGCCATTCGCTGCTCCCCACCTCCCGCAGGGCAGCAGCTGCTCCGCGGGTGTCTACACGCCCATGTGTGTGTGTGTGTGCTGCACACCTTCATGCATGTGTGCCACTAAATGCCAGGTGTATCTACACAAGACCCCTACCCATCCCCCTGCTTCTGGAGGAAAGGGGCCCAAAGGCTAGCTCTCCCACAGTTCTAGGACAAACTCTTCAAAATACTTTCAGCTTCAGGCAGGGGGAGAGAAAAGAAAAGAAAAATTTTAGGAGCCAAACAGCACCAATTCCACTAGACAAAGGTCAAGGCCTTTCAGTGGAGCTACTAGAGAAGAAAGTGCTTTAAGATCCTCTTCTTTCCTAGGCCAAAGTAGAGCCATCTCTCTCTCTGCAACCTAGCTCCACTGGGAAGTTCTTCCTGAAATCTAAGCTCCATCCTGCCTGCCATAATCATGGGCAGACAGGGCAACATGAACCACAGCACAGCCAGACAGACGTCCAGCTTCTAGAACAGAGCTTCTAGCACCGAACACTACCCTCCCCTCCATGAGTAAGTCACCAAACTGGGACAGAAGGACAGACGGTTGGCCGGACTCTGGCTCCATGACTGGCTCATAAAAGCCACCAGCGATTATAGTGATGCTGAGGCTGTGCTGGTCTTGCCACCATCTCCTCCTTCCTGTCAAAGGGAGATAATTGCCTCAAACCAGTTGGCCTTAGAGAGCCTGGAGAGTGTCCGCCATGGTCCCAACGGGTGGGGAGAACCCCACCACTACAGTGCCACAAGGCTCAGAATCTGACCCTTGATGATGGGTTCTAGGCCCACATGTGATCCTCATACCCACTTACAGAACCTGGGTGAACACCAACTATGACTTGTGTCCAAGAGATCAAGACCTATATTACAAACAGGCCATCAACTCCTCTTTTCCAGTAAGGCCACTACCCACCCTCTGGACTAGAGGGGCAGAGAAGCAGGGGACCTGGCTCAAATAGAACTAAGGAAATGCTGGGCCCACCCCTTTGTCCCTGGATTCCCCTTGTCCCCACGGAAGTACGCAGGTGGATGGCAAAGTGTCCGACAAGGGCCCACACCAGGCCAGGGTAAGCACTGAGATTCTGGACCCAGTGCCAACCAGGCAGGGCACGGGGCCCAGCTGGCCAGGAAGAGAAGGTTGACAGAACGGGGAGAGGGCCAGGCCTCTGTAGGGGCACGAGGGCCAGGGACGACCACAGCAGAGGACCTTCCCAGGGCAGGGTCAGAGAAGGAAGGTAGGAAGGCCTGGGCCATCATCAATGAGGGCCTAACTACGAGGCCTCCTCAGGGGCCAAGACACCCCCTCCCCAACCTCCTCGCTGCTGCTCCTCTAGCCCCCAACCTGAAGAATCTCCCTCCACCTTCTCCCAGGAAAGACCTAGGGAAGAGTAAAAAAAAAAAAAAAAAAAGAACACCCTGCTGGAGAGAGATTATATAACAGCAGCCAGAAAGACTATCATATCTCCCAACCTATGAGAAGAGCCAGGAGCCAAGAGAGGCAGAGTCAGGAAGCCCAGGCCCTCCAGCCCAGGGGGACCAGGCACAGTGTGTGGTGGACAGTGGACAGCACCTGCCCCCCTTCCAAGTCCTCCACCACCGTTTCAGGCATTGGGTACAGGGTACAGCAGACAGATGCTCTAGCCCACTCCCCCATGCCCGTTCCTCCACACAAGGGTTTTGATGCTCTCCGGGTCCTGCTTTTGTCTTTGGACCATGGACTCCCAGAACAAGGATTGTAGGGCTTCCTTCCCAGAGTCTCTCCCTACTATGAAGCTCTGCCTGAAAGAGTGGAAAGACTAAAGCTCTGACACAGATTTGCTGGGTGACCTCAGGTAAAAAGCTCAACCTCTCTGGTCTCTAAAGGAGAGTGAAAGCTCCTCCTTTCCCCGGAGAAACCAGAGACCCCTCCCCTTACAAATGTACATGTGCACGTATACATACCCACACATGCAAACACGCATGGGCTATACGGGGGGGTGGTCAAGGGAGTTACAACAAAGAGAATGTGACCACTGAGACCCAAGGGCCCAAATAACCTATGATGGGGCAAGTGAGGAAAAAGCCATACATAAGCTCCAGTGTCCCCCAGTCACCCCATATAAACAGGTTGTCAGCCACTCCCACAATGATCCCACCCCACCCCCATCTCCTGCTCAACACACTGGGAAACCACAGGAAGGAAATTCATTCCCAGGCAGGCCGTGGGAGCTGGGACAGGCAGGCTAACTCCTGGGGCGGGTGTGACCCAGCGGGTGGACATCTGTGAATACTGACATGTGCCTTTTCAACGCTCTCCTCAGCTACTAAGACCTTCCTGTTGAGGGTTTGGAGGGGAGTGGGAGGTAGACAGCTCCCTAACTCCAAAACACTCAGTCTCAGGCTGGCCTGGGCTCCCCTCCTATCTCCAGGCCAGAGCAGCCCAAGGTCACCGCCCCAGACGGCAAACTTCCCATAGTCCAGGCTGGCCCCTGAAGTGCTGCAGAGACCCACTGAAGGGATAGGGGGATGGGTGGATGAGAGCCACCCTCACAGACCAAAGAAATCAGGCCTCTGAAACTCAAAAGGGGGGCTGGGCACAGGAAAGGGGGACACAGGATCCGCCCACCGGACCCTCCCCCAACCCATCAACAATTCACCCTGCAAGGGGAGGCAGAGAGCCTCCCACTCAGAAGGGCAAACCTGGAATAACCCAGTCAGTGGCTCCAAGTGTGCCCATGCCCAGGAGCCCTCCTTTCGTGAGGAGACCCCAGAAGGCTGCTGAGAGGTCAGCGTGATTCACTAGGGGGAGGGGGCGCCTTTCCCCCATCTCTGTAAGACCTGAACCTGACAGGACAACCTCATAGGACGGAGGCTGGCACTGGAGTGAGGAACTAAACACGTCTTGCTCTTCTTGGCACACCCTCCCAAAAGCCCCCAACACTCCCTAGACCCCCACTCCCAGCCCAGTTCAGCCTGTCATAGGTGGAGAGAGGGACTGGAGAACTCTTGCCCAGATGTTGAACAGCTGCAAACTTCTGGCCAGAGGGTTCTCCAGCTGGGGCTGCTGACGAACCAGATCAGGGGTCTCGGAAGCAGGGCTAGGAGGTCCCAAGGAAGGGTCCTGCGTGCCCACCTCCGTGGCGACTCCGCGTCCCAACTCCACAGGCACCCGGCAAACACGGCCCCGGAGACACACACTCACACACCCCAACCCACCACCCCGGTGTCATCTGAACAACATCCCCCCTCCCTCCCCCGCTTCCCAAACAGCTGCGGCTCCCCCCGCCCCCACCCTCCCGCCGCCCTCCCAGGCCCCCTTCTGCACCATTTCGGGCCAAGGAGGAGGGAACAGGCGGCAAGAGGAGGGAGAGGGAGGGAGGCCCGGCTGTTAAAATGTCAGTCGCGCCCGGCTGTCACCGGAGACCCTTTCTGAGGATGGCGCCCCTTCCTAGACCACTCCGAGGCCGTCGTAAGCCCCGGACACCAACAAGCCGGCGCGCCCCCAATCCGCCCGTCCTCACCCCGTACTCCCAAAACCCAAGGGAATTACAGCCCACTCCACTTGTCCCCCACAGCCGACTCCCTAACACAAACAGTCCCCTATGTAATCCCCAACGCCACAAGAAAACAGCCAGCTCCGCGAGTTCCTGCCAGCCCAGGGGGCTACCCCATCCCACCCCTCAGGGGGACGGTCTAGACCACCCTCCACCCCAACCCCAGGACCGGGTGGGGGAGGGGGCCTCTTAAAGTGGTAGGCGCATTATTTTTCCGTACTCACCAGCCCAGCTGGGGGAAAGGGGGTGTTAGGGCAGGAAGGGGGTAGCCTTTGCCCCTTGTCCGGGGGATCTTCAACACCGGGAAGCCGCAGCTCCGGACGGGAGGAATAATAAATGAGGCGGGCGTCCGCGCGGGCCCTGGGCGGCGCCGGGGGGCCTGGGCCCCCGTCGTAGGAGCGGGGGCCAGCAGGCGGGCGGCGAGCAAGCGGGGGACCGGGGCCGAGCGCCCGAGCCGCCTCGGCTGTTGTTGATATTTTGCTTCCTTCCTCCTTTCGGGCTCCAAAGGTAACTCCTCCAGCCCCCGGGAGTCGAGGCCGACGTAGGCACAGCTCAGCCTAGCTTGAGGGGTGGGGGCAACGGGGGTGACGGACAGGCGGGGGGCCAATGGGAGGAACCTGTGGGGGTGGCGGGGCGGGGCCGGAGCAGGGGCGGTCCCGGAGACGTGGCCCCGCCTCTCGCTTCCCTTGGGCTGGCCAGGCCGGGCCGGGCCGGGCCGGGCCGGCTGCTCCACCCCACCGCCCTCCCAAGCTAGGCAGCAGCGCGGCAGCGGCAGATCCCTCCGCCTGCCGGGAGGGAGGGAGGAAGGGACGGAGCAAGGCAAAGTAGGGAGGCGAGACCCAGAGGCCTTTAAAGGGATCGGCCCGCGCCCATGGTGCCCTCTCGGAGCACGCCGGACGGCCGCCTAACGCTGCTGCCACCATGCGCTCAAGAAGGTCCTTTCCCGGGAGGCTCTGTGAGCAGCACGCACACTCTCACAGACACGCACGCTACCTCGGCATTCCCCCCACCCCAGCCCCAGGAGAGTTGAGAGATGGGAGTCTAAGTAGATAAATTAAGAGGAGACTGTAAGTGGTGAAAAGATTCCATCTCTCCCACTTGGTGTGTGACAAAGCCCCACTTAAAGGGAGACGTTCTTTTCTTGGGGGGTTACCTAGCGAGCTCAGTTGCTCCCTCTACCTGTGACGGGCCCCTCCCCTCTCAGGGCTCGGTAGACGCCCAGCAATTTAAAGCGACAGCTCATAGTTCTTGGGTGACCTAATCTCCAGTGCCTGCGGCCGCAGAGCACTTACTGCCGAGGGGGCAATTTAAAGGGGTGGGACCCTAATTCCCCCCTACCCCCACCCACCGCACAGGAAGCACCAGAAGCATCTTATTAAAGAAGCAGTAGTAGCCCTTTAAAAAAAATTTTTTTTTCTTTTAAATTCCTGGTTGCCCCAGGGCGTGGTGAATCTTTAAATGCCCTACAACAGGAGTGTCAGTGTCATGCCTACTGAACAACTGACCTGTCAGGCTTCCGCTCCAGCATCCCTGATACTTCCAAGTCCTGCTGTTTTCTACCTGGAGCTTGAGGAAATGATTGAATCTGGCTTAGATCTCAAAGAACCTTGCAGAACAGAAGAGCACTCAGTTCTTTACACACCGTGATTTCTATCTGGCTGGGTCTGATTCACCGGACAAAGAATTCTGGATTAGTGATGGAGAGACCAACGTATACAGAGAGAGGCGGCATGTCATGGTGGTTAAAAACGTCAGCTTTGCCGTCAAGTTGCCTTGGTTGAAATCCTTACTCCACCATTCATTAACTGTCAACACAGGCACATTATTTAACTTTCCTCTACCTCATGATCCTCAATGGGTAAAATGGAGATGGCGATAATAGTGCCTAACTCATAAATTTGGTGTGAAGATTAAATTAGTTCATATACATAGATTGCTTAGTGCAGTGCCTCATACTGCATTATATTAATATTATAGTAACTCCGACCTTTGGACCAAGGGTTGGTCTGCAAAGACCCCTTTAGGCCTCTGTTAGCCCATGCAAGCCTCAAAGGAGACAAATTCAGTGGAACTGCTCTGCAAATAGGTTGGAGGCTTATCTTGTATGTCCTAAGACAGGAAGCCAGCAGGCTCCTATTTCCTTGGCCTCAGTTTCCGACCCTTCCACCCTATCCCGCCTTCAGGAAACCTGATTTGTACAATGTCCCTCTTTCTCTCCAAATGTAGCTTCCTAGTTCCTCATTGGATCTGGGAGACAAGGTTCCCAACACCAGACGATGTCAATTCTCCCTGCTAGGCAGAACTAGCTTGCCCAAAAGACTTCAGGGTAGGCAGGGGGAGCCCATCTGCCCCTTCCCCAAGGACTTGGAGAAGAATAGATCCTTGTGCCAGGCTTGAGGCTGTGACAGTAGCAGGATGGGAAAGTGCCCCCCCTCAAGTGGGGAACCTCCCCTCACTTGTGGCCTCTATTTTTAGTGCTTCCCTAGGCTCTAGCTGGAGAAACCGTTTAGTCATCAGGGTGTTTATTTTCCGGCTGTTTCCGACGTTGGGAAAGCAGAATGTTGAGACTGGAGAGATCCAGGGCTGCTGTAAAAGACTTCTTAGGAACAGGCCTGAGAACTTAGCCTTCAGACCACTGGGTCCCAGAGCTTAGGGGGAAGAAAAAAGAAAGAAAGAAAAAACCAAATTGGGCAGGGGGCAGCCAAGCCCCCAGGAGACCAGGAAAGCAGGAGTCTCAGCCTGCCTCCAGTTTTGAGGCTCTCCAAGCCAGGGAAGCTTCTAGCTCCAGCTCTACTGGAAGGATTCTCTCCAAAAACATAAACACCCCCAAGAACAAATTCCTTCCTAGGGCCAATTCGAAGAATCCCACTCTGAACTTCTTATATATTGGTGTGGTGTGCCTCCGCCAACTACAGCGCTAGCCAATCTCAAGCCTGAGGCAGGCTTGTCAGGGCTATGATTGGCTGGCTGGTTCTCCCAGTCTTGGAATGTTGGGTCCTTAACAAAGGAATGAGGAAGGAAGGTGAGTCACCTGGGGAGGGTTTTAAAGGGCCAGGAGCAGGAGGGAAAAAGGAGGGGAGGGAAAAGCTCAGTGGGTGAGATAGAGTGTGCAGGGACTACCCCCCCAGATGCTGACATAATTCACTGGAGAACAGAGTAGGATAGGCTGACACTTTAAGTGGGAGAGAGTTTAGAATATAGAGAAAACTTCCTGAGAGAGGAAAAGTAACAAATACAAAGCCTTAATTTTCATGGACAAAGAAACAGGTCTAAGGAGTAATGCTGCTAGAAGTTAGATCATGGAAATAAGGACTTCCTGAAAGTGACTCACTAAATCTTTTACTTCTGGCCCCTGGACTTCCCATCCCAGAGTTCTCTGGGTGGAAAATGCCTGAGCAGGCTCAGACTCTGGCTCTCCTTTTTCCTCCTCCCCCTCTGGCTACTCACTCATCTCTCCTAGAGGAAAGTTACCTAACCACTCAACGCTGCTGTAACATCCCCTAGGAGTCAGACACTTAGATGTCCACTGAAGTCTTAAAAAGAGTGTGTAAACTCCTCTCTACTGTATCATCTTCGTAAGTTTATATGGCAAAGGGACTTCAAAAATTTTATTCACCCCTTCCCAAGCATCCCTAATCTAACTTAATTTGAAAAGGTTTTTCCATCCTCATCCCCTCAAGGGCTGTTTCTCTACCTGCCTGTTGTTCTATAACCCTAGGAAGCCATTACTGCAGGTGAAGCCCCAAATCTATCTGGCTACTAGGTTGGCCCCCTCTCACCTTCTCAGCCATCAGAACAATCTCCAACCCCCTAACTCCATCCCCTCCTCCCTTCCACTGGCTGATCAATCTTCCTCTAGTTTTTGAGTGATCCCAGCAATCGCTCCCCACATCTGCCACCTTGCTTGGGAGGGGAAAGATCACCAGCAGGTGTACAGTAGGTAATCCTGTGGATGCATTCTTTGTGTGGACTTGTGAATCATCCTGCACCTGCTTGTATAGTGCTCTCTATTCTGCTATCTACCTCCTCAGTACACTCCATTCTGTACTGACATTTTTGGTTTCCAATTCTCTTCCTCACCAGATCCTGAACCCCTTGAGGGCAGCCGTCTAACTCAACTTTGGGTCTGCAGGGCTTTCCAGGGCCTGGCACAGAATGTGCTCAGCAAATGTGTTACATGAACATTTGTGTGTGTGTGTGTGTGTGTGTGTGTGTGTAGCTGTGTATCTGAATTGAGATTATAAAAACCTTTATTGAACACCTCTATTTGTCTAGTGATAACTGTGCTAGCTCAGGGATGGGGCTCTGGTCCGGGGGCCCCAATAAGACCCTGTAGGCCAGAGTTGGGGGGGTAGGGCGGAGTCAGGCAGAGAGGTGTCAGGCTGTACTGGCAGAGCTGTGCCCCAAGCTCAGTGCCAGGCCTGGGGCAAAGGGCAGACGGCCCACCCTGGAGCTGAAAGGGGCGGGGAAGGTGCCAAAGCTGGGTCCTCGGTCAGTGCATCTCCCACACATGAGTTCCCTGCCCCCGGCTGGGCAGGATGTGGTGGCAGCTGCAGGAGGGTGGGCAGGATGTGGGGGTGGGGGCAGCTGAAATGCTGCCTGACAGTCGTCTCCCCAGCTCCTCCCTCCTTCTCTCTTGGCCCCCCCATCCGCCCCCTCCCGCTCACGTGCTCCCAACCCAGGCACCTACGGACTATTTCCCCCTTTCCGCGGAAGGACATAATTGTTATCTCAAACTTGAGTCACCAACGACTTCAGCTGTGCCATGCCTTTTTCTTGCTCCACACCCCAGGAAGGAAAGTTTGCCAAATACACATTTCTTTAATGCCCTGATCACTATCCCGGGAGTGGCCCCTTTAAATGCAAATTAACCGCCTTCTCTCTCGCCCCCCCACCCCCATCCCAACTTCTTTCCTCGTGCCCAGACTCCACCAGCTGCCATTGACGTCACGCGTGCGTCAGCGTCGCCAGCCCAACCAGACGACACGTGGGGGGAAGAAGGTAGTCTTAAAGGGACAGACGCTCGCGGCCTGCCAGGTTTCTGCTTTGAGATTTGGCCTTGGAATGAAATGGGATGTGGAAAAATCTATTGGTGCAGGAACAGATGCAGGGTAGACGTTAGGAAGGACTTGCCAGAGTAGGAGGGTGTATTCTCAGTCAGGCCTTTCTTTAAGATTCCCCAGAAGTTTGGGTATTTGTATCTGGGAGAGAAACCCAGGGGCAGGAGGAGCAAAACAACTGTGAAGGTGAAGGAGGCTTGGCGTTTAAGACTCGCCCAATTATAATTTCAGCCTTTCCCCTATTGCTGCCCAGCATGTCCATGTCCATGCAAGGACTTCGTTCACTTCTGTAACCTCAGCACCTAGAACAGAGCACGTAATAGGTACTCAATTTAAGTATAATCCTCCCACCCTATGTGTGGGGGGATTAGTTCCAGGACATCCGCCATATCAAAATCCACTAAAGTTCCCCCATATAAAATGGCATAGTATTTGCATATGACCTATGTGATTCCTCCCATACACTTTAAATCATTTCCAGATTACTTACAATACCTAATACAATGTAAATGCTA